GTCAACCCTGAGCCGGTGAGATTTGAACCGCTGACCTGCTGATCTAGCAGTAGCCTGCAGTGCTGCATTTAACCACTGCGCCACCTTGGCTATAGATGGATGGATGGAGATATAGGTAGGTAGGTAGGGAGATAAATAAGAGAGAAAGATAGGGAATTGATGGATGGATGATTAGATATAGATAAATGGGTGGATGGAGAGATAGGTGGAGAGATGGATAGAGAGAGGGGGGAGATATATAGACAAAGGGGATGGATGGATGGATATTTAGATAGAGGATGGATGGATGGAGATATAGGTAGGTAGGTAAAGAGATAGATGATAGAGAAAGGGAATGGATGGATGGATATTAGATAGATATAGATAGATGGATGGATGGAGAAATAGGTGGAGAGATGGGTAGAGAGAGGGGGAGATATATAGACAAAGGGAATGGATAGATAGATGGATATTTAGACAGATGATAGAGAATGGATGGAGAGATCGGTAGAGAGGGAGATAGACAGACAGATGGAGATAGAAAGAATGGATGGATGATTAGAAAGATGATGGATGGATGGAGAAATAGGTAGAGGGAGATAGACAGACAGACTGATAGAGATAGAGAGAAAGAATGGATGGATGATTACATAGATATAGATGATGGATGGATGGAGAGATAAGTAGGTAGAGAGATAGAGAGAAAGGGAATGAATAGACGGATGATTAGATAGATATAGATGGATGGATGGAGAGGTAGGTGGAGAGATGGATAGAGAGCGGGGGAGATATATAGACAAAGGGAATGGATGGATGGATGATTAGATAGATGATGGATGGAGAGATAGGTAGAGAGAGGGAGATAGACAGAAAGAGAATGGATGGAGAGATGATTACATAGATATAGATGATGGGTGGATGGAGAGATAGGTAGGTAGATAAGATAGAGAGAAAGGGAATGGATGGACAGATGATTAGATCGAGATGGATGGATGGATGGAGAAATAGGTGGAGAGATGGATAGAGAGGGGTGGAGATATACAGACAAAGGGAATGGATGGATGATTAGATGATGGATGGAGAGATAGAGAGAGGGAGATAGACTGATAGAGATGGAGAGATAGAGAAAGGATGGATGATTACATAGATATGGATGGAGAGATAGGTAGGTAGGTAGGTAGAGAGATAGATAAGATAGAGAGAGGGAATGGATGGACGGATGATTAGATAGATATAGATGGATGGAGAAATAGGTGGAGAGGTGGATAGAGAGAGGGGGGAGAGATTTAGACAAAGGGAATTGATGGATGATTAGATAGATGATCAATGGATGGATGGAGAGATAGAGAGGGAGATAGACAGACAGACAGATGGAGATTGAGAGAAAGAGAATGGATGGATGGATGATTAGACAGATGATGGATGGATGGAGAGATGGATGAGAGAGAAAGAGAGACATGAGGGGTCTGGGGCTTTCATCCAAACTAGGTAACATCCTGAGTGACAATGTGAGCCTAGTTTGGCTAAGGATAAGACCAAAGACCGCGAGGACCAAACTCCGAGAGCGCCAAGGGCCCTCACCTCCTCCTCCTCCTCCTCCTTGTCTCCTGCTCTTCTCTTGGTAGAAAAATACAACTTCCTGGGCATCTCCATCGTGGGGCAGAGCAACGAGCGGGGAGACGGCGGGATCTACATCGGCTCCATCATGAAGGGGGGGGCCGTGGCAGCCGACGGCCGGATCGAGCCGGGAGACATGTTGCTTCAGGTGAGGCGCCAGTGCTGTTTCCTTCGCGCAACGCAGCGTGAAGCCGACGGGAGGCCCTGTGGTTCAGGGTTGAACTTCCGGGCTCCTTGGAGCGCGCGGGGAGGGGAGGGGGGGCTTCCTGTGACCCCAAACCCAACGCACTGATGCCGTGGCTTAGTTTGGTCAGGAAACGCCTGCAAGGAAAGCACCCAGCTGAGAGACCCCCCCAAGGACCCCACAGTCCTCCTTTTCCTCCTCCTCTTTTCTGCAGATCCCACCCCCTCCCTCTAGCCCTGATGACGTTCCCTTGCTGGGCCATGAAAGGTCAGAAAGCCACCAAGGACCCCACAGTCCTCCTCCTCCTTTCTCTAGCACTGATAATGTTATCTAGTTGGGTCACAAAACGTCTGTAAGAAAACCACCCAGCTCAGAGAGCCCCCAAGGACCCCACAGTCCTCCTCTTCCTCTCCACAACCCCCCTCCCTCCTAGCCCTGATGACGTTCCCTAGTTGGGTCTTGAAAGGCCTGCGAGAAAGGCCACCAAGCTCAGAGAGCATTAAAGACCCACATAAGCATCTTCCCTTCCTTTTTCGGAGTCTCTCAGCTCCTGCCGGGGGCTGAATTTCAGGCTCCCTCCATCGCTTGGAGGAAGGCGAGGGAGAACGCCAGATAGATAGATAGATAGATAGATAGATAGATAGATAGATAGATAGATAGATAGATAGATAGATAGATAGATAGATAGATAGAT